TATTTTCAAATTCCTGGTGATGAAGTCTTAGAAAAATTAAAACCTTATAAAAAAATACTTGAAAAGAATTTGTGGGAAGATATTATTCAAAATTTTCTATCCCCCAATAAGCCTATTACTTCTACAATATTACCACCTCGCAAAAAATTATCAACTCAACTTCCTCCTCGAAAATCAATATCTTCTTCCATAATCACTTTAGAGCATGCTGCAGAAATTTCTTCCTGGATTGATCGACGTTCAACAACCAATGATATTACAGAAATTCCATACGAGTTTAAACTGCTACTTAGAGGTAGTAGGGATGGATTCGATGTTGAAATATTTCATAAATTATGTGATGATATACTTGGCGTACTAGTTGTTGCAAAGGTTGAAAATTCAAATGAAATACTTGGTGGATATAATATTCTTTGCTGGAAATCTGGAGAACGCGAAACATCTGAAAGAGCACCTGGTAGCTTTATTTTTTCTTTAAAAAATGAAACTATGAAAGAATCTATTCTTAGTCGTGTAGATGATAAATCAATTGCAATTCACCATTTTGAAGATTATGGTCCATGCTTTTATTATTTTGGATTTAGTAAGTCTTTTGCTCCTAAACAATGGTCGTATCGCAGTAATGGTAATACTTACCAACCACCAATAAGAAGTGCTAGTGGAAGGTTTTCAATAGATGATTATGAAGTATTTCAAATATGTAAGAATACATAATTTCTAATACGAATGAATTCTTCGTAAATAGCTTACATAGATAAAAAAAGTACGACATAAAATTTACAGTCCTTCGTATAAGTATAGAATTAATAATTTATTCATAATAAAAATTTACATAGCACATGTTTTGCCCGAAATATTAATCAAACTTATATATATATATACTGTATTGGTATATGTTTTGTTCTAAATTATGGGAAAACACAATTTATAGCGTAATAAAAACCTTATTTCAAAATAACACAAAAAATTATTATGTAGAGATGGAAAAATCCTACAGTTATTCAGTTTCTGGTCTTGATATTAGTCTTCATAAATAGCCGATTAAATTTATTTAATGTTAAAGTTGAAAAAAAAAATATAGTTATTGTTGTACCGAGGTACTGTATTTTATGACTAGAGTAAGATATATTTCAAGTCTGAATATATGATTAGTCGAATAAAAATCTTTATTAACTGAACTTATTCATATATATTCGCATAAAAACTCTTATTCGATTAAAAACACTAGATATGTCACACTATGTACTGATACATTTTAAATATTGATTATCGATAAATTGTTTCTATGTTTCTAAAAAAATTAAATTTGTAAATTATTTAATCATTATATATCACAACTAAAAATGAAAAAATTCAATCTTGAGACCTCATATCGATTCAAATAAATCAATCCATAAATCAACCCACAAGTTTGTTAGTCAGAATTTGCACGATCTCTTCTCGTTATTTAAATGATTCAATTTACACATTCTCGACTTAGATTATGAACATGCTCAAAATAATGCTGAGAAAAAATTGGTACTTGGTTGCTCTATTTAGGTAAAAGAAAAATGATGAAAAAGCATATTAGGATAATAGGAAAGAAAATATATTGTGTGACAATTACGTTCAAGTACTAAATCATAATCTGGGGGGTTTTTTCCATACGTTTATTACAATTGTATTTACTACAATTATACTTAATTAGAGATGATTGTCCAAAATCCTAATTATCTGAGATTAAGTACTTTTTCTCTTAGGGATTATATTCACTAAACTTAAAGGTTGTACCTACGTTGGAGTATCCACAATAAGGTTACATTACAAAAATGCATCCGAATGTCTGTCTGAAAATAAAAAAGTGGTCAGTAAGAGGTAATCATTATTTTAAAAAACAAAAATTTCATTACAATCATAGTAATTTGTTTTATTGATTTTTATATGAACTTTTTGTTTCAAGTTATTTGAATGTTAAGGTCTTTAATAATTTATAATCAATAATATGTAAGCTATCTTAACGTTAAATAAATATTTTAAAACTGTTGTGCAAGACGAATTCGAATCAAAAAACTATTAAAATTATTAATAATATTTTTAAAGCTACCAGAATAATGTATGAAATATAAGAATTAACTTCATTGAGGCTAATAAATAGAAATTGCACACGGGAATAGCTTCGTCATTAAATTTTAATTAATTAATAATATTTTTTTTATAATTTTTTTTTCTAAACCTTAATCGACAGTTATAATCGACAGTTAAACGTGTATTTCATTTCTACATGATTTATACTGTACTACGTAACCCGCATAACCTTTAATATCGCTAACACAGGTGCTGATTGGCTAGCATCAGATTTCAAACTGGTTTGGAAGCATATAAATGCATGCTTATTGCAGTATTGATCTACCGTTGTGTACATACGTACATACGACTTTCAAATGCCTACAAAATTATATGAAAAACTTTCACAAGATTTTACCCAACTTCTTGAAAGTGAATATAATTATGATACAATTATTGAAGTTGGTGAACAGCCGAATATTCAACTTTTCAAAACACATTCTGCAATATTATATCATCGCTCTTCTTACTTTCAACAAAAATTAACAAACCCGACTAAACAAAATAATATCATTAGTATTAAAGTGCCTCATATTTCTGTTGAAACATTTAATATTATTATTAAGTAAGTTATTTAACTATGTATTAATTATAAAAGCTTTATTGTAAATAAATTGTTTGAAATTTGGATTAAATTTTAGATATATTTATGGCGGTGCATTTTCCATAGATAACCTTGAAGCCTCTGGTATATTTGATCTCTTAATCGCCTTCAATGAATTTAACAGTATAGATTCAGTTGATTATCTTCAATCTTGTCTTATTGAAAATAATGCTTCCTGGCTTCGTTTGAATTTTTCTCACATTTATCAAATTAGTTTTCAAAATAAAAATTTTAAAGCTTTGCAACAATTTTGTAATGATATCGTTGTAAAACACCCGAATCTGATTTTTGATTCTGAAGATTTTACTACCCTTCAAGAGGATGCTTTGAGTTCTCTTATAAAACAAGACGACTTACAATTGGTTGAATCTGTGATTTGGGATAAGGTTGTTTTATGGGGAAAAGCGCAAACTCCAAATTTACCTTCTAATCATGAGCAATGGAATAAGGAAGATTTCAAATCTTTAAAAATTACACTTCAAAATTGTTTGCCTCATATTAGGTATTTTCAAATTCCTGGTGATGAAGTCTTAGAAAAATTAAAACCTTATAAAAAAATACTTGAAAAGAATTTGTGGGATGATATTATGCAAAAAATTTGTATCACCCAATAAGCCTATTACTTCTACAATATTACCTCCTCGCAAAAAATTGTCAACTCAACTTCCACTTCGAAAATCATTATCTTCTATATCTTCTTCCATAATCACTTTAGAGCATGCTGCAGAAATTTCTTCCTGGATTGATCGACGTTCAAAAACCTATGATATTGCAGAAATTCCATACGAGTTTAAACTGTTACTTAGAGGTAGTAGGGATGGATTCGATCTTGAAATATTTCATAAATTATGTGATGATATACGTAGAGTAGTAGTTGTCGCAAAGGTTGAAAATTCCAATGAAATACTTGGTGGATATAATTCTCTTTGCTGGAAATCCGGAGAACGCAGAAAATCTGAAAGAGCACCTGGTATTTTTATTTTTTCTTTAAAAAATGAAAATATGAAAGAATCTATTCTTAGCCGTGTAGATGATAAATCAACTGCAATTTGTTATTGTTCTAATAATGGTCCATGGTTTTATTCTTTTGGATTTGTTTAAGTCTTATGCTCCTAAACAATGGTATTATGGCATTAGTACAAATTACCAACCACCAATAAGAAGTGCGAGTGGAAATTTTTCAGTAGATGATTATGAAGTATTTCAAATATGTAATAATGCATAATTTCTAATACAAATGAATTCGTCATACATAGTTTACATAGATAAAAATTACGGTATAAAATTTAGTCCTTCGTATAATTATAGAATTAACAATTTATTCATAATAAAAAATTTACATAGCACATGTTTTGCCCGAAATATTAATCAAATAAATAAATATATATATATATTATGGGAAAAACTCAATTTTTAGCAGTAATAAAAATTCTATTTCAAAATAACATACATAAAAATTATTATGTAGAGATCGAAAAGTTGTTTAAACGGTCCTAAAGTTATTCAGTTTCCGGTCTTGAGATCGGCCTTCATAAATAGCGATTAAATTTAATGTTACATTGAAAAAACATAATCTCTTAATTTCTTATACTTATCGCTGTACTGAAGTACTGTATTTAATGACTAGGGTAAGATATATTTCAAGTCTGAATATATGATTAGTCGAATAAAAATTCTTTATTCTATTAACTTAACTTATTCGCCTATTTGATTAAAAACACTAGATATGTTACACTATGCACTGATACATAATATTTGAATAATTGTGGGATTATAAAAATAAAGACTAATAGTGGCGCACATGATATTAATTTTAAATATTAATCAAATTGTTTCTATGTCTATAAAAAATTAGAATTAAATTCGTAAACTATTTAGTCATTATATATCACAAAATAAAAAAATTTAATCTCGAGACCTCATATCGATACAAATAAATCAATCCATAAATCCATCTCACATGTTTATTATACACAATTTGCACGATTTCTTCTAGTTATTTAAATGATTCAATGATTAAAAAAAATTTACACGTCATCAGCTTAGATTATAAACATGCTCAAGGTAATACTGAGAAAAAATTTGTACTTAGTTGCTCTATTTAGGTAAAAGAAAATGATGAAAAAGCATATTAGGATAATAGAAAAGAAAATATATAGTGTGACAATTACGTTTAATTACGTGCAAGTACTAAATAATAAACTGTTTTTTTTTTCTTTCCATACATTTATGAAATATTTCAAGATCGAATCCATCCCTACTACCTCTAAGTAACAGT